GAGGGGCGGGGTCTCCGACTCGGGAGGTGGGCAGCCGCGCGCCCTCCGCCACCTCCATGCCACCCTCCTGCCGCCCGCAGGGAGATGCTGAAGGACCCCTTCGTGCGCTCCAAGCTCATCTCACCGCCCACCAACTTTAACCACCTGGTGCACGTCGGCCCCACGGAGGGGAAGCTCGGTGCCAAGGACCTGCCCCCGGTGAGTACCCTGGAGCCAATCACAGGCCGACCTGGTGAGCTCCAACCAATCGCAGGCCTCTCCTCGGAGTTTCAGCCAATCACGGGCCTCTGCAATTGCCTGGGCTGGCAGGTGACCCTCCTGGCTGATCCCTGGGTCCTGAGCACCCTGCCCTGCGCCGTCTGGCCTAGGGGGACATGTTTGTCCCCTTGGGCATCCTCTTGGGGCTGACTGCCCTTCCTTTCCAGCCACACATTCTTCCCCAACAGGCTACGGAGGAGAAGGGCCGAGGTGCCCGCCGCTCCGGCTCGCAGCGGCCCCACAGCTTCTCAGAGGCCTTGCGGCGACCGGCCTCCGTGGGCAGCGATGCCCTCACTGGAGACATGGACCCCAGTAAGGGTAGCCCCAGGGCTCCAGTACCTTTGCACCCAGCCTCCCCTCCTACCATCTCAGGCTCCTCAAATTCTGACGTTGGCATTTTGTCCCCTCCCGCGCGTGCCTGGAACAGTGAAGAGGAAACCTCGGACGTCCCTGTCCAGCGAGTCCGTGTCCTGCCCCCAGGGGTCATTGAGCCCTAGTGGCTCCCTGATGCAGGTGAGCTGGGGGGCCTCGTCCCTGCCCTAGCCAGAAGGGAGGAGCTGTCTGCAGGAGACCCACCGGTGGCTCTCTGTCTCACTGCCAGTGGCCCAGGCTCACACATCCCAGCTGTGTGTGGTCCCTGGGGAAGGGGACCCAGCTGCCTGTGCTTTTTCCTTCTGTAAAATGACCCTTTTGTGCTGAGGTGATAATCCCCGGCCTCCATGGGGAGCTCCTGGGACCTCTAGCAGGAGACCCTAGGGTGCAGATGGTTATGTCAAAAGGCTGGCAGTTCGAACCCACCCAAAGGCACCTGGGAATACAGACCTGGCAAGCTGCTGTGATTCAGAATCACTGATGGCAGCAGGAGCCAGCAACCACAGAGGCCCAGGCTGAGAGCAGAGGGGCCTCCAGAGAGCCCAAGGGGAGCCACCTGCCCCACCATGCAAACCCAACAGCCGCACCACCCACTGGGAGCCCTGGGGGTGGCCACATTCCCCGTGCCCTCAGACTCTTCCCTCTGCCCTGAATACCTTCCCTGTCCCCAGCCCATCTGGGTTACGGCCTTCCCCGGGACTGCCCTGGGTGCCTTACTGGTGACATGGACTGTGCTGTAGGTGCCCTGGCCCAGAGCTCCTTGCTGGTGCCCAGAGTGAAATGAAGTGTGTTTTCAGGAGACGTTGAGCTGGGCTCCAGGGTTGGCGGGTCCCCTGATTTCTTCCTGTGTTACCCCGCACTTCTGGAAGACAGCACGCGCCAACACCACCCCCATATCTCTTCCTGCCCCAATTTTTTTCCCCCTGCCCCAATTTTTAATGCCCCTGCCTTGCTCCCCACTGCCAGGTCTCAGAGCGGCCCAGGAGCCTCCCTCCAGCCCCGGATTCAGAGAGCTACCAGTGATGCCCTCCGGCAGGGCCCACCCCATCCATCCCAGAACTAGAGACGCATGGGAGCCAGGAGCCCGGGAAGTGCTGTACCCGGCTGGTCCGGACGTGGAGGCTCAGACTCAGGAAGGCCAGGGCCTGGTAGTACAGGGGTTTGCCTGAGTTCCCACGACTGGGGGTGGGGTGTGTGTGTCCTGTCTCCAAGCTTCTCAGCCGACTTTCCTGCCCTGTCCCAGCCCGGGGGGGTTCACTGGGAATAGGACAGCCCCCACTGCCCTGGGGGCCCTGGTCTCTGGGGGTGACTGTGCCAAAGCTCTCCTGTCCAGTGCCAAGCCCCAGAGTCAGGGAGAGGGAGGGAATGAGGGAGCGAGGGAGCCGATCCCCGGGCCTTGGTGCAGGTCTCAGGCCCTGTCTGCTGTCACCAGGCCCCTCAAGGCGGCTGGAGGGAGGCTGGTCTGGGCTCTGCTTGGCGTTTGGCGGGGGAGAGACAGGAGCTGCTCCTGGGAGAGGAGGTGCAGGAGGAGGTGGAGGGACGTAGGTGAAGGAGGTGAGAGAGAGAGAGAGAGAGAGGCAAGGGAGGGGAGGGAGGAGTACAGAGGGAGAGCTGAGGTGAGGATGAGGAGGAGGAGATGAACAAGAGGTAGAGGGGAGAGGTTCTGGGAAGAGAGCCCAGGTGAGGTGGGGACCAGGGAAGAGGCCCCATGAGCTGAACCGACATTGTCATCTAAGCAGCCCAGGTGACGATACTCCTAGGTTGGGGGGCAGAGGGGAGGGGTGCAGATGGGGGGTATTTATAAGGCTCCTTGGTGGGGAGGAGGCTGCACTCTGGCCTTCCCAGAAAGGAGCGACCTTTTTCTAGAAGCTTCAACCGACTGTGTATTAGGGGATCATAGGGGTCATTTTATTATTGATCACAGTTATTATTGTTATTATATTGCTATTTTTATTAAACCTCCCCCAGCTACTGAAGTGGCGGGAGGGGGAACCAACATATGTATTTATCTCTTTGGATGCTACATTCCTTGGCGGGGGAGGCTCCGTGCTCCAGGAACCAATAAAGACAGCTTTGTAAGCAGCTGGCCTCCCCGCCTGGTTTGTCCTCCTGCGCTCCGCAGGCCCCGTGGTCAGGGAGCGGGAGGATAGGGTTGGGGCTGGAGGGTGGAGCAGGGGGTATCCGGGACTATGGACACCCACCTCTCCCTCCCTCCCTTTTCATGGGTCAGAAAACAAACCTAATGAAATCGTGGGGAGAGTTTAACCAGGAATAGTGTGACAGAATTGTGGGTGAGGAGGTAGGGTGCCCCAGAGTCCTCCCAGGATGGCCAGGCAGGCGGAAGCAGGCGTGCAGCCAGACGCAAGCTGTGGCTTTGGGTAGCAGATTGTGGCCATGCTGAGCAGGAAGGCAGCCCGGAAAATAAGTCCTCAAGGATGGGGCTTTCTATTCCCGTGAACAGTCAGTCTCAGAAACCCACAGGGGCAGTTCCACCTTGTCCTATAGGGTCACTGTGAGCCAGGATTGACTCTAGGGCTGTGAGCTTGCTTCCCTTTGTCCAAAGTCATCCAGCTGCCAGAAGGCCTTCGAGCCCGGCTGTGATCTTAGAGGGCAGCCTGGGGATGCACTCAGGTGCCCGGCACTGCTTCTCCCAAGCTGGGGCTGGGAAGAATGAAGATTGGTAGGGAGAAGCCCTTACCTGTCCTTGCCTGGCATGACCCACGTCGTGAGTGTGAGCTGAATGAGGAAGGGGTATCTGGGCTTCAGGGGCCCGTGCTATGTCCAGAGGCTTCCCTACCTGGCTCTGAAGCTGGGCCCGGGAGGAGCCCGGGTGCCGCTGTCTGGGGAGACTAGCAGGCTGGAAGACACCCACAGGTTCCAGGGTCTGGTTAAGCTGCAAGGCCCTCGGGTCTCCATCCACCTTTCGCCAAAACAGATAACTGGCCACCCCCTTGGAGCCCAGCAATTTAAAATTTTTTTAAATAACGTTTCGTTGTTTTGACGTTTGGGTTTTTTTTTAAAAACATTTTTTACTGGGGGCTCTTACAGCTCTTATCACGATCCATGCATCCATCCATTGTGTCTAGCACATTTGTACATATGATGTCATCATCATTTTCAAAACATTTTCTTTCTACTTGTGCCCTTGGTATCAGCTCCTCTTTTTTTTTCTCTCCCTCCCTCACAAACCCTTAATAATTTATAAATTGTTATTTTCATATCTTACATCGTCTGCTGTCTCCCTTCATCCACTTTTCTGCCCTTTGTGCCTCCCCCCCCTGCTGTGGGAGGAGTAGCTGTCCATCATTGTTCTCAGCTCCCCCTGGAGGAAGTGCTACAAAGCAAATCCACTTCCTGTTTGACCACTGAGGCACCTTGTCTTGGAACACTGCTTGCATCTCCTACCACCCCAGTCCTCTTCCCACGCCCTCCCTGAGGCCCCATCCCACCTGCCTTCTCCCCTGCCCCTCCCTTCCTGCTGTCTGAGTTTGGGTTTAGAACAACCACCGTCCTTTGGCTGGTGGGGCTGAGGCGAAGGGGTTCGCTCAGGTTGTTGATCGCTCCGTGGGCTTGTCTATCGTTTGATTGAAGATGGCTACACTGTCTCTGCCATCATTTGCCACAAGAGAGAATTTGCCTTTATTTAAAAAAAAAAAGTCTTATTAGCACTTCATCCCCATGACATACAATTCCATGATTCCTATCAAGAAGAGGTGTACAGTCGTCGCCACATGCAATTCCCAAACATGTTCTTCTTCGCCCTGTGCCCAGTGCTGTTCATGTAATTTTTTTCCCAATTGTGGCAGAAATATCTGCAGTAAAACGTTCTCCGATTCTACGTGTATCATTCAGTGCCATTGATTATACACGCGTTGTCCTGTCGTTGATACCCTTTTCCCAATTATTCCATGTGGAGTTACCTCATCTCCTGTCAACCTGAGGGGATCAGGTGTGAAGGGGTGGCATCTAGCCTGTCAATCAGGTCACAGCCAGATGATGCCTCCTTGTGGGCATGGCCCACTCACGAGGATTCTGGGACTTCCCCTCTCTCTCTGCCTCGGTCTTCCTGTACACTCGCTGCAAGAGCCATCCACTCTCTGCTTCCCTTTCCTGCTGCTAAGCCTCACTGGGAGAGCTGGAGGAGCCACGTGGAGATCCCTGCCAGCACCGAGATGCCGCTGCCACCCCTGGATCCACAAGACTCTTCACCCACCGCCCTGCGATCTTCCTGCACCCAGCATTGTTGCCAGCGGCCACATGAGTCTACAGAGGAATTTATGGACTCGTGTTGGACATAGGGGCTAGCATTGAACTTGTGGACTTGACCTGGACTGCGCTGGGATGTTTCCTTAAATACAATTGCTCTTTGATACAGAGTACACATATGACTCATTTCTCTAGTCAGCCCAGACTAGCAAATGCCACCACCATTGACATACACTCAGTGCCCCCAGCCAACAGCTCTTCTTCCGTCACCCGTTGTAACCATCGGCCAACTCGGGTTTCTTTCCAGTTGTTTTCTTGATAGAATTTGCCATTTTTAAAGAAAATTATCCACCCCCACCGCCCAACTTCTTATGTTGCTGTATTCCCAGCCTGCACAAAGTCAGACAGGTTCTGGCCCCATCCCCCTCCTCCCCAGGCTCACCCAGTCACCAAACATGCCATGGAAGGAGGAGGCGGCTTTCTGCTCTCTGCAAGACTTGTAGTCCTGGAAATCCACAAGCTTCGCCTTGTCCTATAGGGTCCCAGTGAGGTGACTTCTTGAGGGCAGTGAGCTTGGCGTTTGAGTCCCGCAATCGTCTTGAGGAGTCCTCTGGACGTGCGTCACCGTTCTCCCCTGTTCTAGAAGGATCCATCTCTGGGGCCCTGACCAGCACAGCCAGGAGTGGTAGCTGGGCACCATCTGGTTCTTCTGGCCTCAGGAAGATGAGACCGCGGCTCCCATTGCCGGTTAGTCCTGTAAACTGGTTTCTTCTTGGTCTTGGATTTCCTTCGTACCCCTTGTTCCAGAGCAGTAGAGACCAGTAGTGCCGTAGCCTGCCCTTGTCTTAAGAGTCCTAGATTTGCTAAGTGCGTGCCAGTGACCCGGCTGCTGAACCTCGTGTCTTTGGAACCCCTCTTCCCCCGCAAGCTCCTCCCATCCGACCCAGCCTCACGCCCAGAGTCATACTGGGGAGTTGCCGTGGCCTGCACAGTGGCCACCGGTCACATGTGGCTCCTGAACACTGGGGAAGTGGCCAGTCGGAACAGAGATGAGCGTGTGTGTCTCAGGCACACGGAGTGCAAAGACCTGCTATGGGAGAAGAAGTATGCGTATCACTAGTGATTCTGATTTTGAGTTGAA